GGACAGGGGCAGCCAGAGCTATTGGAGGAGATAGTCAGTGTCCTGTAACCATAGCATAACCTATGAAGAGGTTATCTTTTACCTCTGCCTCCTGTTTATAAGAATGAGACCTGGGCTTCTCTTATCAACCATCCACAAGTGCTGAGTCTGGCACTTCAAGCTCTTACCCATTTTGCTCCCCAGAAACTCAGTACTTAAAGTAGGGGTTTGGAATTTTCCCTGGAAATCCAATCCCACTAAACCAAAATAATTGTGGGAGGGAGGCTCTTAGTAAATAAATATGCATGGTCTCTTACTTAATTCAAGATAACTATGAATCCTCCAACATACTCACCTAACATGAGGTGTGCATAAGAGATGTCAGCTATACTTATTACTACAGTATTGGTATAAAAAGAAATTGATACCTAAAAGAACATATTAAATAATAAATGAAGGGTCAGCTATTTTATTGAGTGGGAAGACACTCTGAATGCATGCTGAGTTAGTATGTGCTTGCAAAGCTATAGTAAATTTTCTGCTCTTTGTATGTAGAATTAGAAATGTAGTCCTGTTTTAAAAATAGTCAGCAGTTGATTTGTGTCTGTTGATATAGTACATGTTTAGATCCTGCTCTTTGAGATGTTTTGTCAGACTTACTGTGTCTTCTCCATCAGTGTCGCCTTAGCTGCTCCTTGTATCTATTATTGCCTCAATAAAGATACATGCCTCAATAAAGAGAAACCTAATTCAGTGTCCCCCACATTCTTCTCACTGTCCAAGTCCTATCTGCAATTTGGAGCCACCTGGTGGTTTTCTTTTCAGACTCCTGTATTACTCGGATAATTCTGACTTGGTAGTTAGTGGGGACTTTTATCCAAGGTCATGTTTGTGAACTTCTGAGTAAGCATTCATTTTTAATACTGTATTTTTATTAATTCTTTGAGAATTTCATATAATATATTTTGCTAATGCTAGTCCAGGGATGGATCTGCCTAGGGGCAGCAAGAGAATGAAGAAAAGACAGATGCAGAAAAGCTGGGTTTGGATGAACTCTACTTTATTCTGATGGAGAACCCATAGCATCCCAGAAGCTCAGCATGTTTGTTACAGAGTTGAACAGAGAGGCAGGGTTATTGCCTACAGCTGAATAAGGAGGTGGGCTTATTACATACAGATAAGCAAGGAGGCAGAGTTTATCTGCATCAAGGATCTGGATTTAGCTAACCTCAGGAGGAGCAGTCTCTGAAGGGAAATAGTCTTCATGTTGTAAATATCTGCATGCACTATCAGTATCGTCAACATTCAGATATCCACCACCAAGGAAGGCTTTCCCATTTTTCATGGGTCGGAGGCTATGGGGTCCTTGACATGCTGTGCCCATGTCAGCAGCACACATTCACTCAGGATTTCACTTACTCCGGACTTCCTCTGTTCGCTACATATTTTTATTGTATTCACTCCCCTCCCCCAGGGTCAACCCCTAGCCCCTCCCAATTTCTTGTCCTCTTTTGTTTTTAATAATCCATTGAGTCCAATTTGTGCTTCTCATATACTCATGAATGTGGGGCCATCCACTGGAGCAAGGTCAACCTACCAAGGGCCACACACATCCTTAAAGAAAACTGACTTTCTCCCATTAAGAAGTGATCAGCTGTCTGTAGCTCCTTAGGGCAGGGTACTCATGAGCCCATCCCACCTCCATGCTAGAATGTTGACTGGCTTGATCTTGTGCAGACAGACACGGCTGCTGTGAGTCCACGATTCCTATCATGTTCAGAAGATCCTGTTTTGTTCTGGTCCACCCCAACCCTCTGGCTATTTCGATCTTTCTCTCCATCTTCCACAGTGGTCCCTAATTCTTAGGATGAAGGAAGGTATAGGTGCCCTATTTGTATCTGAGCACTCCACTGACAACATTCATTTATGACCTGATCAGTTGGAAGTTGGATCAGAAAATCTTGGATACTGGGGGACTTAACCTGCACAACCCCACTTGCCTTTTTTTCCCGTCTCCTTGCAAAGGTAGGAATATTGACTTACCTCTACTTGAAATCTAATTCTGGTTAGAGGATGGAAACCATTGGCTAACTGCATTGAATTCAACTTTGGGATGCTGTAGAGTTTAATGTATCTGGATGTGAAATTACTATGTTTTAGAGAAAGTACGCCTTCAACTTTATAATATTGCCAAATTGCTCTCCCAAATAGTTACATCAATTTACACTCCAACCTGTAATGTATGAGTTCCTTTTTTCACACATTCTTGGCAACATCTGGTGTTTGCGGATTTTATTTTTACCCATCTGATGGGTGTGAAGTAGTGTCTCATTTTGGCTTTGATTTGCATTTTTACTATTGAGCATTTCGTGTTTATTGGTCATTTGGGTTCCCTCTTCTGTAAAGTGACTGTTCGTGTAGTTCCCATGTGTTCTTGAAAAGATGTTCTCTTATTTAATCTTTGTAGGATTGTATGTGTGCATTAGACCAGTATTCAAATGGTTGTTCCTTTCTTCTGTGTCTCTTAAGTGGCAATTAGTATGAATGTGCATTTGCTCATTCTTCCTGTGTTCTTCTGCCTAATCCAGAGACAGAGTCCAGAATTACTGTAGTTTCCTATGTATGCTCCTCTTTGTAATAGCTTTGTAAATCCCTAATAACATTTTTGCCTACAATGTTTTCTCCTGGAATTAGTAGAATGATGTCAGTTTTCTTTGGTTTATAGTATGCCTCATAGAAGTTAAGGATATATTCAAGTGCAAATAGCAGAAAACTTCGCTGTACTTATTAAAGCATGTGGAGAATTATTTTTCTCAAAGAACAAGTTTGGGCATGGATGTGGGTGCACTGCTCAGAACTGCAGCCTCTGTAAGTGTTTCCCCTTCCTGTGGCCAGCTGCCTTCCCTCTCAGAAGCTTATGGATGGGGAACAGAAAAAAATGAGACCCACAGCCTTGATCAGCCAACTATGGGTTGAAGCTTACAGTCTTCTGCTCTGGCTCTAGAACTTAAATAGTCTACTACTGATACATATTTTATGAAAGTTCTTTATTAATAACCTTTCTTTCTTGAGTGAGTGTGACAATTCTTCTCTCACCAAATGAAGCACCACGGGGGAAAAAAACACTATCCACGCCTGCCTTGAGAGCTTGAAGAAGCAATTACATTGCCAGATAATAAAATTTACTAGCAAAGCATAATACAAATAGATCTCAAATCATTAAATCAAAAGTAACAATGTAGTTAAGGTTTGGCAAGTGAGGTATATTTAGGAATCCTTGCTGTATATATTCTCTCCAGACATAGCTTGAAATTTTTCAAGGTTTTTTTTCCCCCAGAAAAACAATGAGATTTCAGTCAGTACTTCCATGAAACCTAACATGACATTGTACCTTTCACTGGTGCATTAGTAGGCTGTCAGACAACCTGTCTGACTTAGGAAATGTGACCTCAGACTCTGCTTTTTCCCATCCTCTGACATGTTAGTCCAGCTGATTTCACTCTTGCCCTGTCCTGGACTGTTAAAATAGGCTGTGGATCATACAGTCTGCATTTGCACTGGACTGTTAAAATAGGCTGTGGATCATACAGTCTGCATTTGCACTTTCAGCCTTCAGCATCTTCAAAGCAAGTAGATTTTATTTCTGTTTTATACTAAATTTATTTCCACATGTTAGAAGGTTCTAGTGCTTCCAACTAGGACAGTATATATGTATATGATATGTGTTAAAAGTTGGCAAGGCATTTACCTGCATTATTATGCTTTCCCTTTTTTGTTTTTTGTTTTTTTGGGTTTTTTTTTTTTGAGACAGGGTTTCTCTGTATTGTTTTCGAGGCTGTCCTGGAACTCTCTCTGTAGACCAGACTGGCCTCAAACTCACAGAGATCGCCTGCCTCTGCCTCCCCTGGGATTAAAGGCGTGTGCCACCAACACCTGGCGGATGCTTTCCTTTATTTTAAGAAGAAATAGATATCGGGCTGGAGAGATGGCTGGCTCAGAGGTTAAGAGCACTGACTGCTCTTCCAGAGGTCCTGAGTTCAATTCCCAGCAACCACATGGTGGCTCACAACCATCTATAATGAGATCTGGTGTCCTCTTCTGACCTGGAGGCAGAACACTGTATACATAATAAATAAATCTTAAAAAAAAAAGAAGAAACAGATATATGAGAAATGAAGCCTACGATGTGCATACTGGAAAAGAAGGCCACTGAGTGCATCCTTTAAGACATTAGAATATGTCTTATTTGATTACTAGAACAAAGGGTATAAATAGAGCTGGTGCTAGGTAAATGCCAACAGAATGGCCACACAGGCACCACTCACTAGTCCAGTTCTGAATGCCCTGTAGCCATCATTAATCTTACTAACACAGTGGTGTTGAGCAGAACTCTGGTAGGATATGAAGTGTTTGTGTATGCTTTTCCATTTCAGTAAGCATGTGGTATTATTTTACACCCTTCACCTTTGTGCATTGTTTGTATTTTGTAATTGTATAATATTTTGTTTACTATTTTACATACCTCAGCTTTGTGCATTACTTAGCTATTAGATGAAATATATAATTAAAATACTTTTAAAAGGCAAATGTCTTAGAAAATGATGTTTTCCACTCGTCTTTATTTATTTGAGTGTGCATGTCTTCATCTTTCAGTGTGTGTGCCTGTGTATATATTTGTGTGTTTGTGTGTGTGAGGTTTCTCTATTTTTTACTGAAATTCTTCCTGTTGAACACTATTTTAACAACAGAAAAGGTATCTTTTTGATTATTTAACCCTTGTAACATAACATTTAAAAACTCATCTTTCTCTATTGTCTGCATTATCTCAATTTTCTTTTTTTCACACAGATTCCGATTTTTAACTAAGTTAAATGATGCCAACAGCTTTAATTTTTCTGAGTTGTGTAACTTTATATTAAATTTCAAGTGTCTCACTATTATTATAATTATATGACTGTTTCTGTTTACAAGCATGAATTTAGGTTTTGTTGCACATTAAGTATTCTAAAATAATTTTTCAGCCATGGAAACAAAGAAGTATTCTCCTGCCGAGGAATAAAACTGGCAGTGGATTGGTTTTTGGAAAGAGGCCACAAAGATATTACGGTTTTTGTTCCTGCTTGGAGAAAAGAGCAATCCCGACCTGATGCTCTCATCACAGGTAAGTTTATTGCAAGTGGTTGTGTGTGCACATGACTTACCCATGCAGGGACCTGCCACTCTAGAGATTCTCAGTCGCTTTCCGTTCACTCAGTCTATGTGACTGTTGTTGTCTTGGACGAAGCATATTTTATTTCCCAGTTTAAAAATGATCTAATTATATTAACTAAATACTATAGGTATTAGTTACTTTTCTATTGCTGTGATAAAACATGATGATGGAGTGAAGTTGGCAGCAGGAGTAGCTCAGAGCTCACATCTCAAACCCAGAGCAAAGAGCACAGTGGGAATGGCATGAGTCTTTTGAAACTTGAAAGTCAAATCCCAGTGACATTTCCTCTAACAATGAAAGTCACACCTAATTCTTCCCAAACAGTTCTACCAACTATAGTTCAAATGTATGAGCTTATGGGGACTGTCCTCATTCAAGCACCATAGCTATATAAGTCAGATCTTCTTCATTTTTGTGGAAACTTTGACACCAAATTCTATAAAATTCGGACTCTCTGAGACATACTTAATAGATGTATTCTAGCATTTGTGGTCACTACATTGTACTTGGAAAAACACACACAAGCTCTTCAGAAACCACTTTTGTCATTGCTGTGAAATTAGCCCAAGCAGCTGTCAAGTTCTAATGGCTGCAAGACATAAAGGCCTGTTAAGACCCTGGGCTATCCGACCCAGCCAAAAAGGAGGAAATCCATTTCTTTTTGCATTATTTTGTCATTGTAAGTGTATATGTTTGAGACAAGCATGCCCTCTTTAAGTGCCACTTGTTGTTGAACATTTGATTCAGCATCCATTCTTCTCTCCCTCCAGCATCACCAGAAACTATGAGGGACCCATGTAAGTGGAACTACAGAACTTTTCAGAGAGGTAGGGATGGAGGGAATGAAGGAGACAGATAGCTACACAGACAGACTACCATGCTTCTAATGAGAAAGATTATTCTAAGGTTTTCTTTTTATCTGATATCATTAAGGCAATGTTAAAATAAGATAAGGTCCGTTGGCAAGTATTAGTGGAGGCTAAAGCTATGGGCTCTGTCAGGTCCAGAATGAACTGGAGACAAATGGTTATCTGTGGTCTCTTAGCAAACTGAAGTGCTTGCTGGCCTCCAGGATCACTTAGTCTCTGTGGCTCTTTTCAGCTCTTCTCACGCCACCCTTTACCCTAACCTTGTCTTCTCTTTCATAGAGAACCCTGCCATTTCTGCCATGAATTCTCTGACCCCCTCTCTTTTGCCTCTCTCTTTGCTCTCTTCGTGTACTCTTCCTCTTGCTGCCCCTGTCCCCCATGGCCATGTTTAACCTACTTCTTTCTCTCTCTGCTCTGGACTCTTGCAGATGCCTCTGGCTGGACTGTCTCTTGTATCTTGTACCTTCCCCTCAGCCATATCTTAGAGGTCATGTTCTCACTTTATACAGGCCCATGTAGCTATGTAAAACTACACAGTGGAATGCCGTGGTCCAGCAAAAAAGAACAGAAATATTGAAATAACTCTGGAATAAAATACTTGCTTAGATTCTTACCTTATTCCCATAGCAATAAATGTTATGTAGTTGAAGAGTTAGTTGTCAAAATTAAACCATCAAAGATTAATAGTCTTTGAGATGGGGAAGGGAACAGCCTTTCTAAATTTAGAAATTTTAGAAATGATGAGAAGGAAAATTTGATATAATTAAAGCAAATTTCAGTTTCAACCTTTTGGTAGACTTTCTTAAAACTAAATACATATTGATTACATTTTAAAATACACTAAGAATTCACGTCCTTAACATTAAGAATCCACACAAATTGACAAACACAGAGTTGTTTCTAACATATAAAGAGTAAAGTGGTTAGGATAAACAATTCACAAGAACCAAATGAGGAAAAAAGAGTCCAACTTCAGCTATTTCCCATTCATTGAATTCACATTAAAGCTAATAGTCGGTGCTTTGGGGAAGCCTCTCTTACACTCAGGAAGTACAAATCACCACAGCCACGCTTGAATATATTTATCTTAAAATGATGATACAGTAGTTCCCACTCCAGTCAAAGTGTCTCAGGTTTGAGTCAGCTAAGGTCTACTGTGGTCTAAAAATATTAAATGGAATCTTCCAGAAATAAATGGATCATAAATTTAAAATTACACAGTATTTTGAGTCAGTGATGAAATACTGTGTTATCCTACTCTGTCCTATCCAGGAAAGGAATCTTCCCTTTGTCCAGCATCTCCAACTTGTCCTGCCCCTAACCATTATCTGGTAGCTTTCTTGGACAAAAAAATTGTCTATTGCAGTGCTTATGTATAAGTAAAGGGTTAAACTAGCACAGAAAAACTATAAAGTACACCCTTTAAGTGAAAAGGTAGAACTTCTCAAGTTTATAAAGAAGGGAAAAGTATATGCTGATGTTGCTAGGCCATGTAGTACAATAAAACAATTCTGATAAAGGTCATGTTCTGCACCACTTTTAACAGTATATTGTTATAAGTGTTCCATTTTTGTGCTGGCTCATTTTATGTCAACTTGACACTAGCTAGCTTCTTTTGGGAAGAGGAAACCTCAGTTAAGAAAATGCCACAACTAGATTGACCTGTTGGCAAGCCTAAGGAGCACTTCTTTGATTGATGATCGATGTGGGAGGGCCTAAACTTACTGTAAGCAGTACCTCCCCTGGGCTGTTTATAGCACCTCCTGGAGTGCTATAAAGAAGCATGCTGATCCATGCTATGAGGAGCAGGAGCAAGCCAGAATGCAACATTCCTCTATTGCTTCCTTAAGTGATGAAATATTGCTTCCTATAAGGTGAAATAACCCCTAAGTTGCTTTTGTTCATGGTGTTTATCAACAGTAGAAAACCTAAGATATATTTATAATAAATTAATTTTGCTGTGCCTAATTTACAAATTGAGTTTTATCTTAGATATGTATGTATATAGATATTATTCTTACTGTCTGTGTTTTTACTTGTAACTGGGGATGGGGTATCTTGGAGTCTTTCCCAGCAAATAAGGGGGAGGAATTGCTATGCTCTTAGATCTTCAAGTTCCTCTTTAAGGAATAAATCTCAAGAGAATAAGAAGGGATATAGGTGAAGGTTTAGAACCAAAAATTCAATGTAGTATTATTTTCATTATAAGGAAAATGAAAACCAATTGCATATTCATAAGAAGAATAGTTCAATAAATAGAACAACCTTCATTGGTACAATATTTAGACAGAGTAAGTGAGTGTGTGTGTGTGCGTGAGTGCATGCGTGCATGCATGGATGCATGCATGCGTGTGGTGTGTGTGTGTGTGTGTGTGTAGGTGTTCTCACTGCTGATTGCACATCCGGTGGCCAGAGGTCAATACTGGGTGTCCTCATCTATTGTTTTCTGCCTTATATTTTGTCGAGAGGCTACACTGGCAGGCCATTGAGCTACTGTGTTCTACCATCTGTCTGTGTTTCCCCAGCTCTGGAATTGTAGATACATGCTACAATGCCCATCTTTTATATAGGTTTGCAGAGTTACTTTATAAAATTCTGGAATGATAGTCAGAGGCTTTTAAGTATTTTCCTTCCCAAAGTAATAGTTTTCTTGACTAGAGCCCTCCATCATATAATCTCTGGTGAATGGAATAGTTCCATATTCCTTTACTGTGTCAAAATAAATAAATCATACATTAAATTTTTCAGTCATGGGTTCAGACTAGCACTATTCACTTAACGAATACTAAACGTGCACTGGTTGTGTTAACTTATTAGTTATATATTAAATCTGTATTTTTTGTTTGTTTGTTTGTTTTTGTTTTTTGTTTTTCGAGACTTCTGCGGCTTTGGAGGCTGTCCCGGAACTAGCTCTTGTAGACCAGGCTGGTCTCGAACTCATAGAGATCCACCTGCCTCTGCCTCCCGAGTGCAGGGATTAAAGGCTTCACCACCAATGCCCAGCTAAACCTGTATTTTTTAAAGCTGGAATTATCTGTGTCATCCTAGTAATTTTTTTCAATCTTACAACCAATTTCATGAGTGCAAATTAAACTAGTGATGGTGACTTAGGCTGCTGCATTTACTCTGTCAGCTTCCTTAGTGAGGTTCAAAGCAAGCAGCTATTTCTCAGGAAATAAAGGGGCATGAGTTACTCAGGAGCAAGACAAAGAGAATGAACTAGAAACTTCAGAGTATGCACCCTTTAGTGATTCCTTTATTTGTTCATCCCATAGACATTCATTGAGTATCCAATAATGTGTTTCATGTGTTGGGTGCTTATGGATACAGAGACCAATGAGACAGGGCACTGTGCTGCCATCCAGATGTTGTTCGAGATGACTGTAGCATGCTGGATTCTATTATTGAATCTGGGCTTTAGGGTTTGCACTGATTTTCTGTGAGTTTAAAGAAGTCAGCAATCACATATGATTGAAATGCATCCAAGTTAGGTTGAAGAACACAGGCCATGAGTGGAGGGAGCTTCCTGGGGCCTCTCCATATGTTAACTGGTTTGCTCCTTACAGCCTGCCCACTGCATTTCAGAAACAGAGAGGCAGGTTTAGTGAGACTGTGATTTCCTCCTGTGAACTGTAGCAGAACTTGAGTTTTCTGCATGCTCGCTTATTGTGGTGCCCACATTTCTTCCACTAGTCCATTCTTAACTTTAGTGACCACTGAACCCATGACACACAGGGTGGGTTTTTTGAAAATTATTAACTGATGTCTGTCATCACGTTTCAGAGGACAGAATGCAGAGCCTGTGGCGCCACATTTGTACCAGCACTTGTGACCCACTGTCTTTGTTCTTGAGAGCCTGAAACAAAAAACTACAAAACACCCACAGAGTAGAGTGGCTGTTGCTCAAAAACTGAAACAGCTTAACAGCTTAGTGTGATTGTCTCTGCGGGGCAGTGCCTCAGAATTTCTAAAAGTATTGTTGCCCCATCAACTGTGAGTTGTAATGTCTACATTCCAGTTCCTATAAAAGCTCTCACCAGAAAGCTCAGTGGTTAAGAGCACTTGTTCTTCTAAACAACTTGGGTTTTATTCCCAGCACCCAGATGGCTCTCACAACCATCTGTAACTACAGTTCCATGGGTTCAAACAACCTTGTCTGACCTCTGAGGGCATCAGACACACAGACCTACATCAAGAAAAACACTCATATCCATAAAAGAAATATCTTAATGTAAAAAACTATGTGAAAGTCACCATGTATTTAATTATGTATTTACTCTTGAATTTCTACCCCGTTGTTATTGCAGACCAGGAAATTCTACGGAAACTAGAGAAGGAAAAGATCCTGGTATTCACACCTTCTCGGCGTGTCCAAGGCAGACGAGTAGTGTGCTATGACGACCGGTTCATCGTGAAGCTGGCTTTTGAATCTGATGGTATAATTGTGTCCAACGATAACTACAGAGATTTGGCAAATGAGAAACCTGAATGGAAGAAATTCATAGATGAACGGTTATTAATGTATTCCTTTGTAAATGACAAGTAAGTAAGCCAACTGTCTAGCCAGCTATCTGTAGCAGCTACAGTAATATCCTTCCATTTTGCCATTGACCAGACCTGAGACTGGTTTCTTCTGACCTCAGTTTCCTATGAAACCTGATGGGAGCCAAAACTGAACACTTGTGCTATAGGAGGGCAAGTGTGAGCTTTGTGCCCTGCCCTGAGTTGCTATCACAGCACCTGAGGCCGAAGAAGCTTCTTAGACTCTGTCTGAGAGACCTGGCTGACAGAACCATGTATACCACCCACTCCACCCACAAAAAATGCCTGTCAAGTCACCTTAGAGCATGGTAGTTTAACTAAACACACACATTTTAAAAGTTGTGTTACCAAGGAAGACTGTGGTCATGATCATAGCCTTCAAGTTGACAAAAGGACAAGTGACATAAGCAAGCACAAGTCACAAGAGGTTAATATATTTACAGGCATGTGGGACACTTAGGCTCTTAAAGATGCATAAAATCTGGGGCTAGAGAGATGGCTCCACAGTCAAGGCATTGGCTGTTTTCCTTGAAGATGTAGGTTCAGTTCTCAGCACCCACATGGCCATTCATAACTATCTGCAACTCCAGTAGCAGGGGGTCCAGCTCTTTATCTGACCTCCCTGATCACTGCATACATTTGTTGCACAGACATGCAGGCAAAACACCCACACACAGAGAAATAAGTAAGTTTTAAAAATTCAAATACATGTAAACCATTATATAATTTAGCAAAAGTTTCAAAACTATGTTTACACTCTCAGCTTTGTATTACTCCTTAGAATATATTAATGAGGGAAAAAAATCAAATAAGCTATTTAGAATTCCAAGGCAACTGAGCACACATTAGAAAAATCAACCGAGTTAAATGCATACCCGCTGCATTATTGCTCAGTTACTCATTTGTAAAGACTACTGAGAAGTGTGGGAAGTGGCTGTGTGGGCACACACCTGTGATCACAGCACTAGTCAGGCTGAGACAGAAGAATAACAAGTTCAAGGCTACTTGGGCTGCAGCGTAAGACTGTCAGAAGAAAAGGGAAAGGGAAGAAACATGGAAAATATTTTTATTTAGCAATGCTGGGGATGGCAGCTATGGCCTCACTCAGGCTAGTCACATGTTTTACCACTGACCTGCATCCCTAACCCCTAGTTTTTCGCAGAGTGTTGCCATTTTGCTTTTGTGATACTAACTCTATTTGCCAAGTGTTTTCTTTAACCATTTTGATTGTTCCTCATTGAGTTTTTATATTGTGCACATTCTTACTTGGTAGGTAAACAAATTAGAACAACAACAAGTGTTAGAATTTATTCCTGTGTATAATATGAATTCTTCTTTCCTCTATTTGATAGTCAGTCCAAAGATAAGCTTATATCCTTACATTTAGCTCCTTCTTTTAGTAGTAGGGATCAAAGCCAGGACAACACATGTGCATTAGAAGCAAGTCCACTGCCACACTGAGTTACAGCCTCAATGGTTTTGTTTCTTAGTCTTTTTGAAACAAGGTGTGAGTTCAAGGCCAGCCCTGAGATCTCTTCTGTAGCCTAGGAAAGCTGACTTGCAATCCTCTTTCCTTAACCTCCCCTCTGCCAAGTAACTAGGATTTCAGATCTGTAACACCAGACCTGATTTTTGTTGTTGTTTATTTTTCAAGACAGGGTATCTCTGTGTGGCTCAGATTGTCCTGGAACTTGCTTTATAGACTAGGCTGGCCTTGAACTCACAGAGATTCACCTGCCTCTGCCTCCTGAATACTGGGATTAAAGGCATGTGTCACCACCATCTGGCTCAGACCTGATTTTAAAAAACAATTTTCCTTTGGATGGAATCTTGTTCTGTTGTCTAGGCTGGCCTCAGAGTCTTTCCCTCCTACCTCAGGCCACTGGGATCTGCCTCCTTACAACTTATTTTTTCCATCTCAGCTGAGAAGCCATTGCTATAATGGGAAGAGAACAGACTTCAGAGTCATGTATAATTGAATCTTGACTTTGTCATTGAATATTAGACACAAAGTGACTTAGTTCATCTGAACCTAAATTAGAATTATTGATTGATCTGTAAAATGAATCTTGAACTTGGAAATGACGTGTCATGTGTAGCACATCTGGCACATAATGGCATCAAGTGAGTCTCTTGTCCTCCCTGCTGCCCCTCCCCCTCCTTTCCCTTCTCAACTGTTTCACCATGCGTGCGCGCGCGCGCGTGCGCGCGCACACACACACACACACACCCCTACACACCTGCCCTGCTTTCCCTTGCAAGACTGGTGTTCAGATCTTCTTAAGCATCCCAAGACTGAGAGAAAAGAAAAGCATTGTTAGGACATGCTGTCCAAAGCAGCTATAAGTTAAAACAGATTCAAGTTCAGAAGAAAGCTGTACTTTATAGGAGAACTTGGTGTAAAGTTTGGGTTTTTTAATCTTATAAATATTAGTCAAAACATTTGGATTAGAATTTTAAAAGAAAATAGAATGAGTGACTATCTATTTAGGATTAAATTAATCTTCTTTCTGTGTGTCATTTTTCTTATTGTTGTCTCTGTGACAGGTTCATGCCCCCTGATGACCCTCTTGGAAGACATGGCCCAAGTCTAGATAATTTTTTGAGGAAGAAACCCATTGTTCCTGAGCACAAAAAGCAACCTTGTCCATATGGTAACTGTCCTTATGAATACTTTGCATGTATATTTAGAGCACAATATACTGTCAAACTTTGGCTATATAAATAAACACTGAAAAATCTCAGATGGTATATTATGTGGTTCTTTTGATTATAGTTGAATTTAAGAAAGTGTGTTAGCCTTAAAACTGTTTTTAACCTATTTGGGTTCAATATATGAATTTCTTTTAGTAAAACTATGGTCTGAAAATGGTAATAATTCTGTTTGAAGTTAGTTTTTATGGGACTAAAAACTGGGAATTCTTCTATCTAGGTATGAATCAGGTAAGCATAGCTTTGTCATATCCTGTTATAGCAGTACAGTTGCTCTTCATAGCAGAATTTCCTACCTAGTTGTAAAGACCTGGAAGAGAAGAGGCAGATATGATCTGAGATACCAACTGAGAGTTTACTCAGTGCTCTTCATAGTAAGCAAGAAGACTGCAGAGTGAGGAACAGACTAAGACTTAGCCCATCTCCCATTTCTGCCTTGAGTTCAGATAGGCGTGCCTCACTGGCTATGGAGGATGCATGGTGTGCTCCTTTGCCTAACTGATTTTATCTTCATAGGAAAGAAGTGTACCTACGGACACAAGTGCAAATATTACCACCCAGAAAGGGGCAGTCAGCCTCAGCGGTCAGTAGCTGATGAACTTCGTGCCATGTCTAGAAACACAGCAGCTAAAACGACAAATGAAGGAGGACTGGTGAAAAGCAACAGTGTTCCTTGTAGCACCAAGGTTGATAGCACTTCGGATGTTAAACGAGGTGCTCCAAAGAGGCAGTCAGACCCGAGCATAAGGACTCACGTCTACCAAGACATAGAGGAAAAGCTTCCCACCAAAAACAAATTGGAAACCAGGTCTGTACCTTCCTTAGTTAGCATACCGGCTACTTCTACTGCAAAACCCCAAAGCACTACATCTTTAAGCAATGGCCTTCCATCTGGAGTTCATTTCCCATCTCAGGATCAAAGACCACAGGGACAGTACCCTCCAATGATGATGGCAACCAAAAATCATGGAACGCCAATGCCTTATGAACAGTATCCAAAATGTGACTCTCCTGTTGACATTGGATATTATTCCATGTTGAATGCATATTCAAATTTGAGTATCTCAGGCCCCCGAAGTCCTGAAAGGCGTTTCTCATTAGACACTGATTATAGAGGAAATTCTGTAGCTTCAGACTGCAGCAGTGAAGGGAGCATGAGTTGTGGGAGCAGCGACTCCTATGTAGGGTACAATGATCGGTCCTATGTCAGCTCCCCTGACCCACAACTGGAAGACAATATGAAGTGTCAACACATGCACCCTCACGGCCGCCTTAATTCCCAGCCCTTCCTGCAGAATTTCCACGATCCCGTAACCAGAGTGCAAAGTTACAGTCACGAAGAACCAAAGTTCCATCATAAGCCTCCTCTTCCACACTTGGCTATGCATCTGCAGCACCCTGCTGTGGGTGCCCGGTCCAGCTGTCCTGGTGATTATCCCTCTCCACCAAGTTCTGCTCACTCTAAGGCACCACACCTAGGGAGGTCCTTAGTGGCCACGAGAATAGACAGCATTTCTGATTCTCGACTCTATGATAGTTCTCCTTCAAGACAAAGAAAGCCTTACACACGCCAGGAAGGCTTAGGAAACTGGGATAGGCCAAGCTACGGGATGGATGCATATGGCTATCGGCAGACTTACTCCTTACCGGATAACTCCACACCCCCGTGCTATGAGCCAGTCACCTTCCAGAGCCTGCCTGAGCAGCAGGAGCCCACCTGGCGAATCCCATACTGTGGAATGCCACAAGATCCTCCGAGGTACCAGGACAACCGAGAGAAGATTTATATCAATTTGTGCAACATCTTCCCTCCTGACCTGGTGAGGCTCGTCATGAAAAGGAATCCTCACATGACAGATGCCCAGCAGCTTGCTGCAGCCATCTTAGTGGAGAAATCTCAGCTGGGTTATTGAAAAGATGATGCATCTTTGTGGTGTTGAGTAGTTTTTGTTCAGCTCAGATGCTGAGGGAGGTTTGCTACAATAGCACATGTAATCTCCTTCTGGGCAAGGAGGTTATATAGTATCCATTTATGTGAAACACTGTATCATGGAATCTGTATCGAACCCCACTTGGTGGACATATCACGGGATTGCTTTACATTCAAACTTTTTTTAAACATTTCCTTTTTAAAGCTATACACTTGGCTGGAAGTTTCTCCAGTTTGATTTAATAGATGTATCTGTGATCTTTGATATTCCTCTTTGGTGCATCAGGGGTTTATATGCAGCACTTTTTATCCTTGTTTCCTGTCTTACTAACTTGGTGTTTGTCTGTCAACTGCAAGCAATTGCAATACCTTCCGAATGTGGAGGTACTGGACTAGACCTAGCAAACTATTTCCTCAAGCCAAGCTTAACTAGAATCCTTTACAGCTTTTTAAGTTATTTTTATTTGGGGAAAGTGGGCTTCTTTGTGCTATAATCATTATTTATAGAAACAAAGATATACTACAGCACTGACTTTATATTTTAAACAAAATGTAAGTTACCAGTTATATTAAAATGGGTAATAGTATATATTAGAATGATTTCCAGTATGGCACTTTTTATTATTTTGGGGGGTGTTTCCTGTTAAGAAAATTAGTTAATTTTAAATGGTCAGTTTAAAAGAAAGCAGATGCAATCAATGGAAAAAGTTTCCATTTTCTTTTTTATGATTAAGGCAAAAGCCGTAACTATCACAGGTTAAAGCTTTGTTTTCCAGCTGAAATGTACTTCTTGATAGTAGAAAGGAAACCGAGGTTCTAGCTTTCCATTCATGTGTATTTTTAATGTCTGTCTTTTTGTGAGAGGCACAATACTGGATGAATAACCCTTTCACAGTACCTGCCTGTTTTTAATTAATCTAAGTATTCTCAATGCAACTTTTATATTTAATACACTCTAGCTTTCCTGCTATTTATCAAAGCTGGCCTGAGGTGGTCTGATGTGTTGAGGATATGCAACATTTATTGATACTGCACTATAGAAATGGCAATGGAGGACTTGTAAATGGTAACTTAAAATTTTTGTAAGATATTGTATATTTTCCATTTTCCTGAAGGTAGTTTTTTTGGGGGGGCCTGTTATATTATTAAGGCCAGACTCTTGCCACAAATAGTGTAGTTTTAGATACAGACTAAAGTCTGTTCTAGTATTAGTAAGGGATATTTCTGGTTGCACAGTCACAGGTTTTGCTTGCTGTAGTGACGTTTCTGAGGGTTGGAAGATGGGTTTATGATCAGTGCAGACAGTGTTGCGCTGGACAGAACTTGACTCAGAATCAGTTAGTGTAAAGGACAAGTCCAGCTCTGGTCCTGTCGTCAGCCTGGATGCTCTGGTCTGGATGGTCCTGCAGCCTGAGAGAGGCAAAGCCCTGAAAACCAGAAAGTACCTTTTACTGTTGATACAAATTGTATCTTTTTAACAATAAGAACTATTTTGATTTGTAGATCTAGTTAAAAACACAAATGTGTAACTATAATTAGACTTTTGGGCAACATTTTATCCCTTATTTAAATACAAAATTTTAAAGTAAAATTGAAGTCTAGAATAGGATAGAAAATAAAAGTAACAATTAAGGTAAATAAAGGTGTCTGTCTTAGTTCATATATTAAAATATATTAAATAAATTTATTGGCATTTTTTTCCTCCTAAAACTTACTTAGTGTGAACTTAAAATAAAGGTAAAATGCTGCCTGAAATAACGTCCAAGCATCTTCGACTAGGATAACATTTTCACTACTTGTGTGACACTGTGTGTTGCATGGAGTAGGATTTGGGTACACAGTAAATGCTTCTAAACGGCATTGTGCATATTAGCATATCCAATAATCTGAACCATGTTCAGCAAACTTAATTCAGGAAAGTGATGTTCTACAGTTACTGCTGTTGTGTTTGAGTGAGTGTGGCACACATCTTTACCAAGAGTGATGCAGGTGGTGCCACACCAGCCATTCCGAGTGGTGTCTGTCTGAGAGTGACACTGCTGACTTGTGAAACTGTCCTTGATTTTGTCAGTCATTGTCCGAAGGACGGTTGAATTGTGGAGGCGAAATGAGTGCCAAAAACAGGGTTGCAAATGTGGGATTCCTTTTACCCAGTCTACCCAGCCGTATTGTGAGGCTAGAGTAGGAAGTCGCTTCAAATGAACATGTCACTTTTGCTTCATTTTAGCACTGTGATTATTTGGAAATGGGCAAACTTGACTAAAAGGATGTAAGTTAAGACCTTAGGTAAGAAGGATATGAATTTTAAGATTTGGTCTTCTAATGATTTTAGTTACCCTCTTTTTCATCTTTAATATAATCCCTGCCAGTGTCTGTCTTGGAGTGAGTAGCTCTGACCCACCCACCCCTACATTTCTCAGTACCATTAGCTGTGTGCTAGGGAAAAGTTTTCTTACAAGAGGACAGTCTGTCCCTTTCATGGAGCACCAACATTGCTTGCAGATTTTAACATAATTGGCAGACTTTAGCTACCATAAAATTCTCAGATATCTCAATAAGTAACAGGAGTCCGTTATTAAGTTCATAGCTGATCATAAACCTTAATTTTAGCTAAGATATGTCTTCCCAATTGCTAATTATCAGACATTCTAAAATAAATAAACAACCTGAAAATGGTGTGTTAATAAGTAGTAAAAATGCCAGAATTGGTCAGCTGATAAAAAGGACTCAGACTGGAATATTCTGCCCCTGAATAACAGACCATTGACTGTACTTTATGCAGTAATTATCAGTTCGTTTGTCCCTGTGTCTTAGTCCAGAGGGAATAGTACCTAACTGGCCAAAATGGCCCTTAGAATTTCCTCTTTTCTTGCATGTAATACAGACGTTTTCAGTCTTGTTATCCTAATGGGAGTTTGTCACTGACCTAAACAGTGAAAGTAATGGTCACCAGTATAAAATATTTAACACTGGTGGAAACTTGAATTTTGTGTTTTTATGAAAATACATTTATGAGAATATGTAATATACCTAAAGAGGGTGTTTTATATATACAAACATGTTTGTTATGAAGTATTAAAAATGGGGGGGGTTGTCTTTTAATGGATAGCATTTTCCTGATTGAACTGTTTCTTTGAGTTGTGTGACCAAGTCTAGGATCTATTTGACCAATGATAAGATTCAGAACCACTTACTTGGAAAGAAACACTTGTTTGGTCTTATTCTTGGTATTTTAAAGATTATTTTGATAATTTTAATAGAATGTGTAATTTTTAAATACACAAAAGTAGTATTGATTATACAATGATTATTTAACATGTCTTTTCTGGATGTATCTATATGTATATAGACAGTAATATATTTATAAAACAAATATACTTTATGTTGTACTTTTTAGTTTATAATAGATGTGAGGATGACTCATGTGTGTGTGTGTGTGTACATGTGTGTGTGTGTACAAGTGCACGCACATATCAATGTCTTTTCTGTCTGTCTGCTGTCTGCCTTTCTGTGTGTGAAAACTGAGCCCCTTTTCCCTGACTTGCTGGTATTTAAAGTGTATTTGGTTTTTGTTTCTCCTTTTACTAGTCTGTTTCCTTATTCAAAATAAAATAAGAGGGACAGTTTTCTAGTCTCCCTGTTACCAGGTGGCTCTTCCATTTTATTAACCTCTTAATTCTTAAAGAATGCCTGACATCAAGGCTAGAGATAATGATTATTTTGCAAATATATTAAAAGTGAAAAACCAAGCTGTGGTGTTAAACTTTCAGGATAAACACCAGTGAACAAAATAAAGCATAGAAAACTAGTCACACATACTTCCAAGTGCTAGGAAGCCAAGTACCTGTGTGTGAAAGCAAAGACACTTGTGTTGTTCTAGATGCCTTAGGTTTTAAACCCTAGGTGATGTGTCAACAATTCTTTCTGTGTAGGATCTGGTAGTACGTGATTCAGGCTTCTCAGAGAATCAAATAGTCTCTTTAAAACTGCTCACCTTTGCCTTTACAGTGTAAAAGCCACAGGCAACATATAGATAAAAATGTGACTCTTTAAAATATAAGTTTATTTACTGAAACAAGCATCAGGCTAGTTTTTACCTGTGGGCAATTCCTCAGCCCTGCCCTTGGGGGAGAAAGCCAGGTATATTATGCAGTAAGTTCTCGTGTGTGTTAATATGATAAATATTAACTGTGCCTCAGCAAAAACTAGAGGTAGTCTGATAGTTACTGGCGTCCTTCAGAATATGATGTGCAGCAGCCATTCAAGGCACCTTTATGCATTTATGTTACCATCATACCCCATTATTTCAGATGCTTCTTACCTAATCAACAAAAAAAAATCTGCAAAAAGAGAAGAATATCGGAATTTTTCCTTGAGCTTTGAGTTTCTATTTATGAATAAGAATTCTTTATCTTTAGTTTTTTAATGGCCTCACGAACCAAAAACAGTCTGTTTTAAAACTTAGCCTGTAATTAGCCACAGATTTTTCAAAGATTGTATTTGACAGTTATATTTTTCTGTTGATTTTGTCTTCTGATACTTAACAAACCTACCCTCCTTTATAAGTGGTATTAAAGATTAACATACTGTAATTTCACAGTATAGGATTTGGCAGTAATATTTAAAACTGAGTAGTCTACTAACTCTAATGAGTGTACTTGTTACATTGTCAGTCTTAATAGGAAACATGTACGTTTTCTTTCTGGGTCTAAATGCTCACTATAGAGGTTTTAAATACTTTAGGGACTGCCATGAGAGGGATGTTCTTATGATCACCCATGAGTCTGAATTGATTGGAGGTACACACTGCTGAGCATATTCATTTCCAGTGCTTCATTCATGGTACCACAGCAATAACACTATTTCCATAGGATTGTTCAATAGCTATGAAAAGCACCACCCACTTAAGTAGTTACACTTCCTTTTAAAATTGTAATGCAACTCTGGCTTTAACAGTATTTCCTGCTCTCACCTCCTTACCTGTTACTCCTGCTATGACAACACTGTCATATTTATACATGGCTCTTCCCTAGTATCCTCAGTCCTTCAGATTTAATCACAGTTTCAAGTTTTGACCATGTGGCATGTTTTCCTTCTTTATAAACTCGTAAAGTTTCATTTCTTAAACCATGTACTGACATTCTATCCAAGTATTTCAGGTGAACAACAAGATGTTTCCCAGCAGCGCTATTACCACTTCTCTCTAAAGCAGCTCATTCACAGGAAAAAGAAACCCAGTGGTTGTTTTGTAAGTATATACACACATTTGTGTATGTGTGTGTGTATATATTTAGATTTATATTTCCCCTGGGTTTTTTAGATATGAATTTTCTACCTTCTGCTAACTACCCACAAATGGTTAAATACTACAGACATGGTATACCCTCTCTGTCAGGTCTCCTTTTCCTCTGAACTATAGTTGTATGCTGGTAAAGAATTTCCATATTGATCCTTCAACTTTTCTTATAGGAAAAATAAGGTAAAGAATATGTTTAGAGCAACCGTTTTATAAATGTATTATTCTGTTTGTCTGGTCTGTGTGTTTCTATGATGGGATTTTTTACAATCTCAAAAACAGTGGAAACAGCTATATGATTCTGCTATAGAGGGAAATACGAAATACTCATTTTTCCTATAATAGGTTGTTGTTTCATGAAGAAACTGATCTCATATGACAGCATAGATGCTAGACAAGTAAAGCATTTTCCTTCTCTGTTCCCCTGGCTTGCCCAAATTCTATGGTTAATGATATTGGGCTTCTCTGTATGATGTTCTCATGTTCAGCATCAATGTAAATGTTAGAGCCACAACTAATCCTATTAAACTGAAATTAAATATCAAAAACAACTAGTCATGACTCAAAACATGCTGAGAGTGTTTTCTTTCTGTTTGTCTCCAAGGTGTTTTGTTTCTGGTGATTCTAAAATGTCTGGTTGTCTAGATAAGACAGTGTGATTGCTGATAGGGACCTTGTCCCCTGAGTTTATAGAAAGGCTGGGTGGTCTAGTGTCCTTGTTCTGATGAAGGCCAACAAGGATTAAAAGGTACTGAGAGGGCTTCTCTTGGTGGGGTGGTATGGATTGGGGTAATACACCAATTTGGGGCACTGATGCATGTGAACCCTAAACAGGCATCCTTCAAGGTCTCTTATAGTTAAGCTGGAGTTTAAGATCAACACAGTCAATGTGAGTAAGTATTAACAAAGAAAAAAACAATAGAGGAATAAGTTTTATCTTCTTGGTAGTTGAGGCTCAAACACTAGATCTCTATAGGCAAATGTTTCATTTCTTCCAGAAGTTGGGGGAGACATCAGGCAGGGTTAGTAAGTGATGCTTGTGTGCTTGAAGCCATCTTGCACATGTTAGTGTGACAACAGAGGCAGCACACACAGCATGCAGAATCAAGCAGATCAGCTCCCAGAACCTTTCCCAAACTCCCCTCTAAAATGGCATTGACCTTTGTCTCAGGTTCCTATCTCCAATGCATGATGAGAAGGCGAACTCAAGGGCAGGTACAGTTGAGTGCAGTGTTGCCTGGCCTTGCTCCTGAGCCCTGAAACTGCTGGGACTTCACGTGATCCTTGCTATTGTAGAGAGCTGTCTTCCTGACCCAGTTTTCTGATAACTTTTGGTCAATGGGAGTATTCCACTTCTGCTATGGTTTTATAGCAACATGTTCTAGTGACATTGTGATTAAATTTACTGGGATTTGTCTCCTCCATCACTTTGTAGACCTTTGCTTCCCCCTGACGTTGTACCTAAAGTTGGTACTTTATTAGTTAATGTCAGATAGTCTTCTGCCCCTTTTCCCACTTGACTGTTTGAGCTGAGAACTTGCAGACTTACACTGTGTGTTTTGGCTCAAGCTGTCATGCACATTGACGTATTGATGTTCTCATAGCTGTCAGAGTTCAACATATCCAAAAGCAATGAATCAGTAGCAACATTTTGGAGAGAATCCAGCCAAGGTTGTCAGGGATATTGGAGTAGGCCAGTTACCAGGAACTCTAGGACTACAGGAAGCAACTGGCTTTGAAAGATTATCCATCTCTCTCAAAAGAACTTGACATGGAGACTGTGACAGACACCCTGGGTAAAGGCTGGAGCAAGGACACAATGGCATGAGCATGAGCTTTGGAGCAATACCCCCTGTGAACAAGACTTTGATCTTGAAGCTGGGCTACTTACTCCACTGTAGATGGGGTTCTTTCCACCTTGAGGATGTCACTGTGACTATGTAGATGCCTGTATAGAGCACCTAGAAGAGCTCTTGGAAGGGTAGCATGAGACTGTGATTATGAGACTAGGAAGCCCATTGCAGCTCTGTTTTACATGGAAATCCATGCCTCACATTGGATGCCAATTGAAGGCAGGCTTTAAATGAGTCCACCAGACCCAAGATAAATGATAAACAGGCATTTACTAGGGAAGCACTTACACAGATTGAGTAAATCACCACCACGGTCTTCCTGCTCTAAAAGATGCAGTCTCTGCCCTTCCGATGTTCTCTGCAAGCCAAGAGAGCATGAGCCAGCCCCTCCTTTACCTGATAATGGGCACCTGAAACCACACCAAAAGGGTGTGGTCACCACCACAAGTTCACTGCAAGGCAAGATGCCACTACAGAGTTGCTAGAAATGAAATGCTCCTTTGCAGCCCAAGGCCTGCACCTTGCCTTCTTGCCTGCCCCTCACAAGGTGCACACAGTCTACTCCCAGGGCTGCCTCCTACTCTCTCAACTGCCTCTACTGCTCTCAACTCAGCCACCTACCCCTCTGCTTTGCCTCTGGATGCCTCTGGCCATATGTGTGCCCAGATCCACGTATTTCATTACATCAATCTCCTAAAATGTTTGAGTTGGAGAGGGCAGCAGACACTGGGCCTTCTGGATATTTCTTCAACATGCATGCAGTCTTCCAGCTTGGAAGGTATAGTATCTACTCCGGCATTACCTCCGTGAAGCCTTTCTGACCTTTGAACATTCCTCACACTCCCTCTCCAATATGGCCCATTTTCCTTGCTTCCTCAGCATTGTCACTGAGGTTTAGCTTGTGTATTGTGTATTCCCTGCCCTGAAATATATAAACTATGTGAGAATGGACCTGGTTTACAGCTTTCTCGGTTTATATGTGATACATGACCAGACCAAGCTTTCGGTTGCCCCATCCAAGCATCAACTTGGGGTATAGCTGAGTTGCCTCAGGAGCACAGCTGCACACCTGCACACATGGCTCAGGGTTTGGTCCTAATCAAGTCATGAACTACTTGCAGATGGGCCTCTCTTTAGATCCATCACTGCCCTGTGACCCAGAAAGGCAGGCAGACAGAGAGCCAAGACAAGTTTAGGTAGTGGGGTCTCAGGTCTCATCTTGAAGTGGGCCATATCTTGGGTATTGATTTTATGATGTTGGATTCAAGTCTATGCCGAAGGATGACAACACATAAATCAAAGATAGGGTGGTATAGCCTAAAGCAGAGATGCCAGTTCCCACAGAGCTCGCTAGTAGTTTGTTATAGTTCAGGATGATCTTATAAACCAGCTTCACAATCCTCAGAGGCAGACATTGTCATTCACCCCAGATTTAGACTCAAATTCTCCCTGCAATGCAGGTAGCACCTGGGGATTTGGACTCAAGTCTCCATTCCTAGGCATTTCACATCATGTTCTCGTGCTGTCTGCCCAGCCTGCTGTCTGTCTCTGGGCTGTGTTCCTAGACATTGGGTCAAACACAAGAGAGAGTAGTGTGCCAGTGACACCTGATGGCTAGATGACTTCTCTGACTGACTGCTTGGGTCAGGGACCTTGCAACTTTCAGTTCTGCACTCCTCTCTGGCCATCATCCATGGTGGACTCTTAGTACTATGAGGTCCTTGCTCCAGCACTGGGTATAGTAAGAAGAGGCACAGAGGTCCCTGGGAAGGCAGGACCTCCTTTGTCACACTGACTGCATGACTGGAGCTCAGGATGACTGCAAATTGTTGAGAAGACAGGAAACAATGATCTTTTGAACAATGCTGTTCCTTCTGACAGCACACAATTGTTTCTCAGAATGTGCCAAGCATCATTTCAGCCTTCGGAGCACTCACAAATATTCCCCAGGGCTGGGTGAGCAGCTGCCCCAGGAAAACAGGACACATGGACAACATTGTTGTCCTCAAAAAGAACTGAAAACAAAAACTGAGAACTTACAGGTATTATTGGAAGAAAAAGGTTTAGAATCATCATGTATCTTGTAGTTTATTCTTTCAAAATATTTTTTTTGTATTTTAAAATCCAGAGAAGGTAAGTAAGGTGCCCACAGTTACACAGCAGAAAAACTGGAGAGAGACTTGAGAGTGCATTTCATTTCAAACCAATGCTGGATACAGCCAGCCGCATGATGACAGTGGAATGCCATGCCTCAGACCTACTGACTTGGGTGACTATTCACCAAGAAAGAAATTCAGTGATGACAGAATGCAGGGTTCAGGGTGCAAGAGGCCTGAGTGTACATGCTTGGGGACGTATGGATCCACTCAGAGGCATCCCATGGTCCTGAGAGTGTCCTGCGGAGGGAGGGAGGACTTCGGGGGCAAGGGACCCCACTGATGTGCTGTTTTCTGCAGTTTAATAACAGGAGACTATGAGTGTCACACAGATCCCTTCTCTATGGTCAACAGCAAGCTGGGGAGGAAAGGGTTTATTTGACTTACACTTCCACATGGTAACCCATTGTTGGAGGAATCAGGACAGGAGCTCAAACGGGGCAGGAACCTGGAGGCAGGGGCTGATGCCGAGGCCATGGACAGGTGCTGCTTACTGGCTTGCTCAGCATGCTTGCCATCAGCCCAGGGATGGCCTCACCCACAATGGTCTGGGTCCTCCCACATCAATCACTAAGAAAATGCCCTATAGACTTGTCTACAGCCAGATCTTATGGAGGCATTTTCTCAACTGAGGCTCCTCCCTCTTAGATGACTAGCTTGTATCAAGTTGACAAAACTAGCCAGCACAGCTTCACCAGACAGTCCCTATATTCACTGTTTTCCTATGTGTACCTAGAAGAGGCCCTGAGGTTACTTCTGAGTATTGCATTAGGAAGGACAGGAAAGTGTTATTCCAGTGGAAACTGGTGATGGGAAAAAGCACTCTGGAAAAGTGCCCAGGAGGAAGGGCATCTGAGGTTGTAGGTAGAGTGTTGCAGGCAACTTGTGGAGGCTTGCAATAACACAAATGGGGTGGGTGGCAAGGAAGACGTTGTCACCAGAGTGGACCAGATTGCAGGAAGACTAGGAAATAGGGGAGTCTAGATGTGGATCCCTGCAGAGGCTCGGCTGAGAAGCCATGTTGGGATTGACTTTGGAAGTCCTTGCTGGTTTGGCATGCCGGCTGGCTGGCTTGCCTTGATGACAAAGGCTGGAGCAACATTTGGCATGGTTGTCACTAAAGCCAAAGGGGTTGAAAGGCATTTGAAACCATTCTTGAATGTGTCTGTTGAGTAAAATCAGATGCTAAAGAATGCATACAGGTGAACCCCAGCTTAGTGGATTACAAGCAGATGAGATCTCCTGGAGCTGATACCTCTTCCAGCAAGTGCTGTCGGGTGTTCCCTCTTCTGCTAATTGCTCAGATGCATTCCCACTGTGAGGACTGTCACACTGTCCCCTGATGTGTGAATGCTTGGCTTTTATAATTCAGTGAAAAGCTCATATAACCTTCTTCTGTCCTCCTTGCTTTAAGGCCTGGTACATGTTTGTTTATCTGTGCACAGGGCTTTGTCTATGGTTTTATTGAGGAGGAAATGGGATCCATTTATCTGATGTCCTATCCAGTCTGAAGTGAGTATAATCCATAACCACTTGTTTGTC